TATGATACTGCTATAAACACATATATACATAAATTAAAATTTTATTTCTTTGACAAAAGTAGAATCATATTACACATGCTTTTCTGTATCTTACTTTTCTCACTTAACGATATCTCATGAAAATTTCTTCAAATCATTCTTTTCAGTGTCTATGTAGTACCCCCTTTGGGGTATTCACTTTTTTCCCAGTTCTTAACCACAGTGAACAGTGTTGTGATGAACATCCTTATACATGAGTTCTTGGGTGCATATGCTTTTTTTCTTTGGAATAGGTCCCAGGAATGGCAGGTCAAAGGTATATGTGTTTTGGGGATATTCTAAGTTAGGTAATCCTGCTGTGTCTTAGTCGGTTCAGACTGCTGTAACAAAAATACATGGATTGGGTGGTAAGGGCTGAAACAATAGACATTTATTTCTCAAGAGTTTTGGTGTCTAGAAGTCTGAGATAGGGTGCCAGCCTGGTTGAGTTCTTGGTAAATCCAGCCTGGGTTACAGATGGAGATCTTCTTGAAAGACATTCAATCTTCTAGTATCCTCACCCAGCAGGGAGGGAGAGGAGAAGCAAGATCTCTCGGGTCTCTTCTTAAAGGACACTAATCCTATGTATGAGGGCTCTACCTTAGGACCTAGTCACCCCCCACCAAAGGTCCATCTCCTAATATCATCACATTGGAGATTAGGATTTCAACATACGAATTTTGGTGGGACACAAGCATTCAGTCCATAATGCTTTACTTATCAGGAATTTCTGCTTCCCACAACTTTAACTCTTGGAGCACAGTCAATAGGAATGTCTTTTTTGGTGGTGGTGGTTTTTGTCTTTTGTTTTTGAGACAGGATCTTGCTCTGTCACCCAGACTGAAGTGCAATAGCTTGCTCATAGCTCACTGCAACCTCCAATTCCTGTGGCCTCAGGCGATCCTCCTGCCTTGGCCTCCTGAAGTGCTGGGATTATGGGCATGAGCCACTATGCCTATTGGTGGTAATTTATCAAATATTTATGTAGCCCTTATACTGTTCCAGCTACTATTCAAAATACTTTGTAAATATTTATTTAATCCTTATAACTTTATTAGGTTGATACTATTATTATCTATACTTTTACTGATGAGGAAACTGGGAGACAGAGAGTTAAGTAAACTGGCCTAAGATCCCACAGCTAATAAGTAGAAACACAATTTGAATCCATGCATTCTGCTCCGAAGACCATATTTTTTTTTTTTTTTTTTTT